CTCTCTCTCTCTCTCTCTCTCTCTCTCTCTCTCTCTCCCCCCTTCCCCCACCCCCTTCAGCATCCACCTCATTGTGTCACGGGCCACCGGCTTTTTTGCATCACGTGGTGCTTCTGGGCAGGTTTCTTCTCCAAATGCGTATACCTTGTGGCAGGGAAAAAAGGGCCTCATGAGGGTAGCTCATGGCTTCTTTTTCTGCAGCATGGTTCATGCACACAGCCTCTTTTCTAGTCTGCTGAATGGCGGTACTGGTCAGCCCGATCATAAAAGCGGCCAGTGGTGGTACTGCAAGCAGAAGGCCCATATGAACCTGTCCCACGGCTGGGTCAGCACTTGTGCCCAGGAAACCAATTGTACTGTCTCATGGGACAGCATCAAGCGAGATCCTGTCATCCCTGTGAGAAGTAGGGGACAATATTGAGGCTTGAGGGACAGCCTAGGCATTGTATCTCAAAAGACTAGAGAAAGTAGAAATCGGCATGGGTCATAGATGCACAGCCAATCAATCACAAATCATCCACGAGGCAAAGTTGCATGGGCCAAGAGGAGAGGAGGGGGGGGAGGGGAAGGGGGGTTTAAAAAAATAGACGATAAGTTCAGTGCAAGGCCATAGGTCCTGACATTTGGTGATTTGAATGCATCCGGAAGACAGAAGTGAATTTGTTCATAGAAATATGAACCTCTTACTGACCATTTTCTTTAATCAAGATGAGGTCCAGTGAGCATCATGGGGGTAATCTCGAATGAATGAAATGCAGCCACCCCCTTTGCAGTCGCTCTATCCTATTACAACGGGTGGCACCCCAGTTCACTAACCACTGGGTGATTAACAAAATGCATCGTACACAGCAGGGTGGGACCGCTGACCCGACTTTTTTGCATCCTGTGTTTTTAATTTCAAACTTCAAACTTCGAATGAATGCAGGCTTCAAACAAGGCAAGCATCGTGTCTTCCTTACCGCCTCTTCCACTTCTTTGCTGGACATGACTGATGTGTCTATCTTGCTCCGGCTGACCTGCGGAGAGCAAAGCAAAGCAAGACTTAGCACAATGGACAGCAACTCGCTTTGTGGCTAATGGTACACATATGTGACTGTTAGCAAAGGGAACATAAGTTCAAACCCTGATGGATACAACAAATGTTAGGACATGACCGATGTGTCAACTTTGCTCCACTAATATGCAGAAAACAAAGCAACGCAAAACTCAGGACAACGAACCAACCCATCCTTCTGGCTGAATGGTACAGACATGTGACTCATGATAAACAGACCATAGGTTGAAAGCCTGATGAATACAATGATGTGAGGGGTTACCCGTCTTTGAAAATGAAAGCAACATGAACCAAAACAAATGAATGCTGGAGCCATAAGTTCTCTAACCACCACTGACTTTTACAACCACCCTGGTTACCAGGAGTTTTGCTCTTTCTTAGCTGGTCCATTGGATTGACAATCCGGTGGCTTGACAGTTTCTTTTTTCCTGACTGCAGGGGGTTGGCCCAACATTTCAGGAGGTAGTGGTGACTTGAGAAGGAAAACTGATTGCCAAGCAAACTCCTTCGTTTTCTACTTCTTCTTCTTCTTCTTCTTCTTCTTCTTCTCCTTCTTCTTCTACTTTTCTTTCTTTCTTTTTCTTTCTTCTTCTTTGGTCTCTATCACTTTGCAAGTGCTTTCGTTTCTTTTGCAATTGGGTGGCATTGTCTTTCCTTGTGAATTTGCGCTTTGGAAATAGCCAGGATCGTAACAGGGCAGGTAGATGGTAAAACTGAGGAATCGAAGCTACCAGTAGCCTTGCAAGTTGCAACATCTCCAAGAGCGCTGGAGGTGGGCAGAAGGCTATCTATGAGTGAGGCACTGATGCATTGCATCAATTTGCGAAGGAACTTTCTATTTTATTCGCTGATGTAGGTTTTCATCTATGCTGGGCAGTCACCCGGCTGGGCACCACACTTTAGGGCACTTCCAATGAGCAGCTTGGAGGATTGTTACTGTTCACAATGGACTCCTAAAAGCTCCAACTTTGACAGGTCGTAAAAGATCACTTTCAGCCTTTTACTACCCTTTAAGGCATTTAGGACTTAGCAATCCAAGTTGCCCAGCTCCCCACCTTCCATAGCATTGTCCTTCAGAAGCATGGAAGGACCAAACAATAATTGGTTAGTTATCCACATTAATCGGATTGAAAGTCCACACGCCACCGACATCCATCAGATTGGAGGTCCACGCACAATCAACATGCATCAGATCTGTTGTATTCATCAGGGTTTGAACTTTGAACCTATGATTTGTTCTATACCTCACTCACTGAGGCGCCACAGTGAGTGAGCTATCAAAGAATAAAGGCTCAAGTTTCCATCTTGGTGTCATCGAGGATGACGCCTATACCATCTACTGTCCCTCAACGGAAATCTAGGATTTGGAAATAGACCCAACAGAACGGTCCTGGAAGATGAGTGGAGGAGCTTTGGAATGTAGAGTTGAGGACGAATCTGTTACTTTACACAACTTAGGATATAAACGTAGGCTGCATTCGGCAGGGATGGAGGGTAAAGAAGCAAAATGTAACAGATACATACCATGCACATCTCTCTCTCTCTCTCTCTCTCTCTCTCTCTCTCTCTCTCTCTCTCTCTCTCTCTCTCTCTCTCTCTCTCTCTCTCTCTCTCTCTCCTCCCAGCAAAAGCATCCTAAGGCAACTCCATGAGCACAGCTGTGGAAAATTATGGAAGGCAGGGACTACTTACTATATGACGATCTGAACTAACATCCGCAGGATAGTCACACAAGTCTGAGACACCAACCAGCCTGTCACCTACACCTGTGACCAGCACAGTTCACAAATTGAGACATCATCATCACACAAAGTCAAAAATACATTTTTTAGCAAAAAAAGTGTACGAGTGGGAATAAAAAAGAAAGGGAGTATAATCAGGCACTGCTCATACTCGCAGAAGATGCCAGCCACCAGCCATGAGACAGTAGGGGCACACTCACACTAGGCATTCTTGGACTTCTTTCTGGATACCCACTGTTACGCCCCCTTTTGTACTAATTAAAACCGAATCGTGCCTCGGACTTCCAACATAGTGCAGACTGAAAAGCCACCTAATCAGTGGAAATGGATGTGGGCTCAGGATTGAAAAGACACACTTGTCCAAGCCGAGAAGACATTCAGAAATTCACTTCGAGTTTGTGCCACGTCTCATTGCTGCTGTGTTATAAATATAGTCAGCGCCCTGATTCAGCAGGAATAGGGCCTGACCTTTAAAGTTTATAAAAGACTTCACAGTGATTCTAACATTCATCGCCCGAGCAGACTACTCTACAATGGCACATGAGGCCAGTCAGTGTTTGGGTTGCATAAGATTTTGAGCTGAGGAGCAGCCGTTGCCTGTGGTAAGTTGCCACCCCTTGTGGACAGTGGAAACACCGCATCCAATTCTCAGGGCCTAGCTCCACCACTCACCAAATGTATAACATTAGAATGAATCTTCTGCTAAAACATGGAACCATACACCGCCATATGGTATGTCTTTTGTGGATGTGGTGAGTAGTGGAGAGTGGCCCCTTGGGGCACTGTAACTTCTTAAGTATATTCATAAGAAAACAAAATGAAAAAACGAGAGAGCTACAGGCATCTTCGTCCTAACCCATAACTGCCGACATGCAGACCTGAATGCCAATCTTCAGCATACATTGGTGGTCGGCTGGCCTCACCAAACATATTTTGTGACTTCTGCGAGACAGTGTGGGGCAGGATGCTATGGGGCAATTACACCCTTCTCGCAAATTCGTCCACCACTGTGTGGGATTTGCAGAAGGGAGGGGGAAGGCCAGTTACCACACCCCGCCTAAAAAAGAAAACTGGAATGAGCTCTATTTTGAATTTTCATGATCCGCGATTTCAAAATTTTTGGGGGAGGGGCCTGGGGAATTCGAAATTCGCAGCCCTTGCGCAAAAAAAAAAATTTGGGCCGCCGGTTTCCGAACGCGCGCAGTGAGTTGAACATTTTTGCCGGGGGGGGAGCGGGGGGGGGAGGGGGGGGCGTAGGAAATTATGAAACCCCTACTTTTTTGTTTTTGTTTTGGACCTTAATTTTTCCGGTGCAGTGCGCAGCATGTGCGCGAATCCGTGCACCGAGGTGTGCCGCAACTATGGTTTGACCTCTATAGCAAGCAACATGAAGTATAACAGAGGCTTGTAATGTTTGATTTCTTTGGGGTACCCCTTTCATTTGTTCTTGCAGCTCCCCCTTTACCGTGCCTCTCATATACAGGGCTCGCCACGTTGATTGCGGTTGAGCGCGAGCTGCCCACATCCCCGTGTGCCATTATGGACCACTTGCACACTATGAAAGGAGGCAGAGCAAAAGCAGAGGTATATTCCTGTTCATTTCTTCTCAGATCTTCAACTTATATGTTGTCTGTTCTCTTAATGATGCTCATTTGTATGTATTACTAGTAATACACAAGAGGAGGGAGGAAGGAAATGGGAGGTGGAGTTCTGAAAGGGTTCTAACTTCTAAACAGTGACCGATGGGGCAGAGAGAGACGGTTAACGGGGGCCCAAATATTCGTCGTTTTCGTTGGCAATTGCGGTGCGAATTTCATCAAAAATTTTAAAAACAAACGATACATCAAAATTCGTCGAAAATAACACCCCTGGTTAACCGCATGTGGGGGCAGACCACTCTAGAATGGCACATGAGGCTAGTCAGTGTGTGGGTTGCATAAGGTTTGACGAGCAGTCGTTGCCTATGGTAAGTACCTTTGGTAAGTGGCCACCTCTACAGACCGGGAAGGGCAGGTTTGGGTGCGGCCTGTGGAAACACTGCATCCAATTCTCGCAGTCGCTTCTACTGCATCGAATGGCACGGCGTAGACAGATGTCACAGGCTACGTGGCTCCTACATGCTAGGAACACAGAGGCCCGTCGACCGCAGTTGTAGAGGCATTGCCGTTCCAGCCCCTGTCTACAAATTGGACATGACATGTCAGGGTGCCGTACATGAGTGCAGCGTAGAGTGTCATCACCCGTATGAACTTTGAAGACAAAAGCTCGTCCAGGCTATCCCTTCATAATCCTCAGGCATAAGGCATGTGAACCACATGCTAGCTGAATCACAAAGCGGCATGGAGCAAGTTTCTTGGGTTTAGTCAGTATTTATTCCTTCTCCATGGGTAGATGACGACGGGGGAGATTGATCCAAAGCAAGGGCGTTTAGCTGAGCAGATCCAAAATTGAAACAGCTATACCTCTGTAGCAAACATGAGTGTGTTTGTGTCCGGGTATTGTTGTGGGCCTTTGTGTGTGTGCCAGGGCATGTGTGTGTGTGTGTGTGTGTGTGTGTTGTCGAGTGTCTGCATGTGTGTGTGCATGTGCATGCGTGTGTCAAACAAGTATTGCTGCTTTCTTTGGGAGGGTCGTTTTCTTGGTGCCGCTTTCATGGGGCCAGCCGTTTTGTTTTTGGGAAGCATCAACAAATAAAATGTGGGCCAGTACATCCTTGCTGGGGGTGAGGAATTGAGCTTAGGAACTACTCCCTGCATAGAGTAGATGGACAATCCTACGTGCAGTCCATTTCGGCTGCTTCTACTTGGTGGATTGCAGGTCGTGGATTCTGGCTACTTTCGTACTTGGTAGATTTCGGTTGGTAGGTATTGGTTACCGCTATGGGTTGCTGTGTGTAGGCAGGGGTTGCTGTGGGTAGGCAGGTAGGTAGGTATTTTGAGGTAAAATTGAGAGAAATGTAGCTCAGTTTTTTTTTTTGTTTTTTTTTTCCAGTGTGGGCCAGTACCCTGCTTCAACCTCTAAACCGAAAGCATGGTAACAGCCCAATGATGTGTGCTGTCCATTTGCTAACTCAATGCACGACGACAGCAAAATGATTGGCCGTGTAGCGGTATCATTAACCTATTTAGAAGTAAGGAAAGCCACTCCCTCTAGAACCACCCAATTAGTCACGCCCATTACACATGTATACCAAAAGAGTCGTCAAGAAACCCTAGCTCTTCGGTTGATTCTTGAAGGCGCTTTCTGGACAACAAAATAAGGGAGGGCGCGGATGCTGAGTTGATGAGCCCCCGCATCACATAGTGGGATTTCTGACAAGAACACTTGCACACACACCCCTAGTACCACTTCCAGGGGTTTTTTAACCTGCAGATCCCCTGCCCCTCTTCCCATTTACACACGCTCGCGTGCACACACACACGCACGTACACACACACACACACACACACACACACACACATATTCCGCTCTTGCTAGCTCTCTCTCCTGGTAGATTGAGTGATTAGGATTGGGCTTGTTTGTTTATTATACATGGCCTAATTCTTTTGCCTGGGTGGCCATGAGTTTTTTTGGGGTCCAAATTTACGTTTGGAGTTTTGGCCACGGTATATTCGTAAGGAGGCTCAGAGAGTGTTTGCTGTGGGTGTCATTCCCACGAAGTGCTCTTTTGGAGCACATGGAAGAAATGGGGGCTTATAGGGTGTTTTAAGCCATAGCACTCCTGCTGTCGCATGGTGGAGATCTTGTCGATTTGACATAGTTTGCACAGTGGCTTAGTTGTTGCAGTATGAGATCATTTGATTCCGCCGTTTGTGATGCCAGGGGAGGTTCATGGCACTGTTTGTCTGATTTCTGGTGGTTTTGTGCACCGACTCAGAAGGCTCTCTAAGTTTTTTCAGACCAAGCCCTGGGGGTTGCAGTCGTGGACAGTGCTTTCTTGTTGGGGGCGGGGCTGTTGGGTTGTGGTACAACTAATTGTCTATGTTCTGTGTGATTGTCAGTCGTTTGGTATTGCCTTATGCCCTCCATCCTTTCATAGATTACATTATATTTGTGCAAGTGTGCCGCTTTGGCGGGAGACGGGTGTGTGGGCACTTGGCACTTAACCACACAAACGTGGCCAACCTTGCACATTCTACTATGCTGCCTATCTATACCTTTTGTGTTTTATGGACGATCTGTCATGGTTTGTGGATGGAATTAGAGAGAGAGTTTGGGGTTCTTTGACACACACACACACACACACACACACACACACACACACACACACACACACAAAGCAGGTCTCTGCCCCACTTTTCTCCTTGGGTTTCTACGTGCAGTAAGATACGATATGACTCTTCCATGACTGTTCCCTCATGTGGTAGTTGACCAGGTCTTTTTGGTCAGTTAGCATTGGAGTTTCAGTCCTGATTTTCGATCGAACAGAACTATGCTCACCCAGCTCCATGAGGATCTCTGTCGCACTGGGCAGCAACGAGACAATCTGAGAAGGATACCTCACAGGAGCATCCTGTGACATCTGCCTGCTCCCAGCGCTCCCAAGGCCTCCCCTCCCTTCCGCTGCCCCATGCATTATGGGTGACTCGCCATCCCCAAAGTCCCATGATGACAATGTCTCCGTCTCGTCGTCATCTCCTGCCTCTCTCTCCCTCACATGTTCGCTGAAGTCCATATCCCTGGATCCTATATGTCCATTGCTGTCCAGACTTGTGCTCCTGTACACATTCCGCACACACTGCTCCTCTGTCATGACCGCCCTTTCCTCCCTCTCCCTTTGTCTGTTCCTCTCAGGACTTCCCATTTCCTCATACGAGCTATCTGTCCCATTACCCCTGTTTCTTGATCCATCATCCTCCCTCAGTGCTAACTCTTGGTCCCGTCCATAGTCACTCCAGGTGCCTGAACTACAGCGACTCACATTCCTCTCTCTCCTTCTCACATAGTTTGAATCCGACCGTGAACGCCATTCATTGTTCCTTTGCTCCTCTCCTGATATTGTTGACATATCCCAGTTGTCTGATGCCGAATGCATCAAACTACCTGCTGCAGCTCCTACAACCCCATTCCTCAACCTCTCCGGCCTGCCTCGGTTATTCCAGTTGTCCAGTTCTGGCCGGGTCAATGTACCGACATGCTCATTCTTCACCCAATCCCATGGGTAACTGCTGACCATTGATGACGAGACATCCATGGTTCCTGGTGCTCGCCCTTTTTCCGACCATGGAGTCTGCATTAGTCTTCGATGATCCTCTTTCAGCTCCTCCACAAAAGGGGGTGGTGGGGAGATAATACCGTTTCCCCTGTTTTCATGCTTATTGAAACCCTCGATCTCACTCACAACAGGTTGAGAGTTCATCCCACCACCGCCTGCGTACAGTGCAATACCCTTCGGGAGACCCAAAGCTGCTGTGACAGCCTCTGCAGCTGCTGCGCCAGCCGCTGCTGCTGCTACAGGCCCTGCATCTGCCACAGCTGCTGCTGATGCAGCAGCAACAGCAGCTGCTTTTACGCCTGCTACTCTGAACTTAGAAACATCAACAAACATCACAACCACGAGCCCAGAGCCCAATCCAAACGATCAGATCCAACTGTTCAGAACGGAATGAGGTCCGCAACACTCATTTCTTAGTAGTTCATTCCGCTGGACTTAACAGTGACTAACTCTTTGTAAAGGGGGCATGTAGCCCCTAACAGTATTGTGCCCATCTATTTCCATCATAAATGGAGCATCCTTTAGAGTTTCCTTTTCACAAGTGAGTTCAGGGCTTTTCTGTTTTGTCATGCAGACAGTCATCAAGCACGAAGGCAGAATTGCCAAGATTCACATGTTACCCCTTAGCAAACCCATGCCTTTCAGACCAGAACTGGTTGGAGATTAAAAGAGCAAGGTCAAAGGCATGAAGAAACAAAATCTCAAAAGCAACAATGGCAGATAATCACAGGGAGTACAAGCAAACTGGTTGCAACATACACAAATGCAACTAGAAATAAACAGATCATCATGAGCTCAAATCCAGGTGAATTCAGTAATGTTAAGGGCTAACCCCCTTTTGAAAAAAAAAAACTACCTTCTTCCCCCGAACATAAATCATATGTGTTGTATTCCAATAGAACGAACCCTATGTGTTGTATTCGTTTACAAGTTACAACGCATATGCGTTATGTTCGGGGGAAGAAGGTAGTAAAATTATAAAATAGAAATAACAGGAAGAGAGAGAGAGAGTGAATAAACAGTTCCATTATGGAGAGGCAAACAGACCAGGGGCTGAGAAGAGATCTCCAGCCATTCTTTTAAGTCAGGATTTAAGGGAGGGAGGATTATCAATCGTTCTTTTATTCTGGGGGGGGTCAGTCCGGTTGTTTATCACCAGCAAACATGAACAAATGCAGAAAGTAGTAAGAAGAGCAGCTTTGCCCTGGCACTAGTCATGTCCGGCACTGCAGAGGGGGGGAGCAAGACTTTCATCTGCTTGCATCCCTCTAGCCCGGAGACACTCAGCTTACCCAGACGCTCAGGGGGGTTCAAGCCTCAATCATCAGCTCCCTCTGCTCTACAACAATGCCCCTGCTGCTAAGGGCTGCCACAATAAATGGCATACCTGCATTAATTATTTATTACCTTATCCCAACAGGCTCAACTCTTGCGAGAGCCGACGCCGCAGAGTTGGAAACAAATATATGAAACACAGCATGGTATTTATTGGAAATCCCAGAGCCGTTCTGTTAGCGGGAATGATATGAGCATCTTCCACTAGCAGATCTCGTCTCAATCACCCCGATCTATTGGTGTGAGGCTGCACCTTCTGGAAACCGGGTCCAGCGTCCCATATGCATTCCAGTCCCATTTCAACACCGCGGCCATTACCCGGCTTCGGCTAAATGAAAAGGTAAAGAAAACCAGAACGTTGGCAAGATGGCCAGCCTCGTCGGCCCTCCTGGGCCACCAGACAGACAGAATGTACCTCTGGCTGTGTCCTCTGCTGCTGTGATATGTGTGTGTGATGTGTGTCCACTGCTCTTGCCCGCCTGAAGTTTGATCAACACCGCCTGTTACCCGCCTCCATACCACTGCAGGTCCACCAATGACAGACGATGTGGAGGAAGGAGATCTGGGAATTCCGAGGGTGAGCGCTTTGGGATTGTTGCTTCCGCTGATGTCCAGTCCTTGACAGAAGGTCTGTACTATCGTTTAGGTGCCACAACCTCGGCTTGACCACCCCCCTCCCACGGGATGTTGGCTATCCAACCCCCTTGTTCACTCCCCAGCCATTCCTCTGAGAACCGCTTGATTGCTTATGTTATATCCTTCTTCTATTGATGACAATCCAATTTCGCTTTCACGTTCATCCATTGGTCTGTGATGTCCAGTTGGATTTGCTGTTTTATAATGTCTGTCATTTCTTCCCCTGCTATGTGCACATCCTTCATGACATGTATGCATCTCTTTCGCCAGAGTGCCCCGAGGACCGCTCTTCTCCCCACTTTGGAGCTGTCTTGTCAGAAGCTACAAACCCCACACAGCAGTGCTCTCCAATCCCATGGCCAGGTGGACTCGGTACCTAGCTGACGCCAGATCCAGTCCTACCAGCGCCATGTAAGGATTGCCCCCGAGCACTGTTCAATGGTTTCCAGGATTTTGAGGGGGGGAAAGCTACTCTGACATCGCTTGCACCAACAGAGCGCCAGACACCTTTGTTCCAGATAGGTCCGGTCTATCAGCCAATCATTTGTGGGTAAGCACCGGTGTTCTATCAGCCATTGCAGAGACGCTATTTTCGCTGGTTTGGACTCGGTTGCTGTGAACCAACTAAAGGGCCTGAGGTCTGCTGCACCCACATGCAGGTGGGTCATCCATCGGTTCTGTACCACCTCCTTAAGATTTACCTTAGGTGACTTAGGTCTCAGCATTCTGTAGGAGGTTAAGATTTACCATAGGTGACTTAGGTCTCAGCATTCTGTAGGTGGCTTTCACCTCCAAGCTGGCTAATTGTTTGTTCTTGCAGTTCCCACGTTGGTTTGCGGGGACCACTGCCATTCCACCAGGTAAAAGGGCAGTTTTGAGATTGTGATGTCTGGCTGGAAAGTCATCCAGTCTTCCTTGACCCAGAGTGCTCTTTTGGTATAACTGCGTTTTTTCAAACCACCCTACCGCATCCAGAGAATACCTGACCAGAACATTGTTGTTTTTTTCTGTGGAAAAGATTGGTTGGGATTGTGTCCGGTCTTCTCGATGATGTGGTACATTGCTTCGATCTGGACAATTCCCGAGCAAACCATCAAACAACTTAAAAGTAAGGCCAGGGCATATCTCTGGGCAGGGGACCCCAACAAGACAAAATACATCCCCAAGATAGCCTGGCACTATATAACGAGGAAGCCATCCAAGGGAGGACTAGGGATAATCGATCCTAAGCAGGAAACAAAAGCCCTCCATGGCATGAACTAGCTCTGCACAGCATAAGAGCCATAGCCCCAGTACAGAGCCCCTCTAACATGTCAGGCCTATTATGGGTTATGAACAAGGAATAGAAGCCGGAAACAAGCAGAAGGAGACGGTCATCAAATGTATCCCAGAATGAGACGGAATCCTCTACCCCATACTGGCCTGCCCTTATCCGCATATGGAGAGAAGTCATGCCAAAGCAGGTAACCAAGCCAAAATCCAGAGAGGAAGTCCTGCGCCAACCCCTGTTTGGGAATCCATGTGCAAGGGATGCAGGGGATCACACACTGTCTCTAGCAAATGGCCAGCGCTGGTTTTCATGGATCCGGCAGGGTGTGTGGAGGGTGAGTCACATCTGGGATGAAGAGAAAAAGGACTGGATCGAAGAGGAACGGTTGAAATCACGTCTGAAGGGGTGCCACCATCGCGATGAAAACTTGGTAACAGTAACAAACAGCATTCCAGACAGCTGGAAATATCTGCTGAAAGAAAGGCTTTCATGGAAGCCAGGGGAGTGGGGTGTGCTAATTCAGGAGACAACACCACAAAGGGCTTACCAATTCTATCGCAGATCAGCAGGCCCAGTGCTCTCAGAAATGTCGACTTCCTATCCGATCGATCACACCAACCCCAAATCTCCATCCATCCACAATGCTGACCTACACGAATCGGTCCTAGACTCGTTCACACTGCAGAAAGTAAGGGTATTAGGTACCTGGCCAAAAAAGGTATTCCCATTGGAAACTGCGATGCAAGACCTCGAATTCGATCCAGAGGAGTGGCCATGGTCCGCAGCTAATAATAGATTATAGTATCATTATACAAAACCCCTATTCATATCATGTGCAAGGAAGACGAGCAATAGCGAGCTTCAGCAATCAAACAGCATCATACACATGAGACCAGATAGTCGTGACCTCGAACCAAAAGTAGAATTGCATCACGAGTTTCACCAAACAAGAGCACACCAAAAGCTCATAATTGACAATGCTGGAATAGTCTCATCATCATCAACGAAGAACCAATGTTGATATCCTATCTGGCGCTCGACGCCCAGACTACGAATGGCAGATCCTATCTAGCCTAGACTACAATGCAGCTGATGATGTCAACAGCTTCCCAAGTATGAGCAGACCTCGGCCAATGCCGCACGCGTCAAGCACCAGGTATGTCTCTCGTATCACTCACAACCTCGTTCCCCAATTCACAGATGCCACTAGCACCCAAGGACCACCATGCGCCCCATCCAGCATACAGCAGCGCAGCTCGGCTATGGCTGCCTGCTCCTTCCACTTGCCCGTGAGCGCGTGAGCCTGGCAAGCGATACGGCAGCAGCGCTTGCACACAAAGCAGCCAGTGCCCGGTTAAACACCTGTGGGAAGGCTCGGAAAATAGGTGGAAAACAGCTAAAGAGCTAAGGGGGCAACTAAGGGGTTGTCACAGGCTGTCGGAAAATTTAGAAATAGTCATAAGAGCCATTCCACAAAGGTGGGGGGATCTTCTGAGAAAGGAATCACAGTGGGGGCTAGGGGACTGGGCCACATGGGAAGATGACAATGCTCCAGGAGAAGTCTTCAAGATATGGGATCAGGAGCCTGCAAGGCTGGGATGGCTTCAGGCAGACAAATATACCATCATGCATCAAGGGAGCACCACCTCTTTACTTGAGAAGAACTCCAAAGCGCCTATAACCATTCTCAAAAGTCAATTGYRTAAGGTAAGAGTARTTGAGACAGACGAATTCACAGTTTTCTGTCCAACTACTCCGGTGGAAGATTTGGAAGTCGACCCTGGGGAATGGGCATGGAAGATCAGAAGTGGCACTGCMGGATCAGAAAGGAGAATTAATATTCTGCATTACACCACTCGGATCGGATATAGGTTGAGAAGAAGATCCTTTTCTCTTACGCCTCAACTCTTGAAGCGGTGGGAAAAGAGGGTGCGGATTCCACCGGGACAACTGTCTAAGTTTCCTTGGCCGGCGATTAATGCGGTCCGCTTGGGAAAAGTCAGAAGCATGCAGTGGCTAATAGCCCATGTGGCTCTGCCGGTGAATGAATGGTTAAATGAGAAAAGGAGTCTGACAAGGAGGGACCCAGCAAATGCGGTGTGTAGAGTGTGTCAGGGYGGMGTGYCAGAATCAATGCAGCAKTGTCTGTTGGARTRTAYSGSAGCAGTCATCATTTGGGATGAGGTCAGGTG